ATGGCAAAACTGCAAAACAAATCGTTCCACAGTGGGGCAGTCGGCATTGTTGCCGCCTGCCGGCGGATGACCCACGGCCAGGTCGCCGAGGCACTGGGCATGAGTTGCCGCAAGATTTGGCGCTGATTGTCACACGACAGAAGCGGATAGACGCTTGAGAACAAGCTAGGTCGCGGCAGGAAGACTACCGCCAGGCGGGTATAGCGCAGATCGTCATCGCGAAGTGCGGAGCTAAGGACAGGCTTATCCACAAGGAAACTGGCAAGGAGGCTGATTGCCAACAGTCATCCTGCAGTCTCCAGGTCGACAATCCATCGGCACCGGATGTTGTCTCTAAAGCTGAAGCCCTAACAAGCCACGTCTCCAGTCGAAAACTTCTGCTGAACATTGTCCACGGCCATCTTTCAATGGGTCGGCGCCCCGGCTCATCGAGCTAGACGACGCAGAACTGGTGCAGACATAACTTCCCAGTATTCTGGAGAAAGGGCAAATGACCGGGAAATGGTCGCAACCTGTCGCCGAGAGAAAATCTTTGGTCGATCGTCCGGTAAGAGGTGAACAAAATTGCACCAGGGTAACCTGAAGGCTCGCTGACCAGGAACGTTTGATCTGTCTGGTCCAAGATCAGTCCACAGAAGCTGGACATGTGTATGTCTGATGTCCTGGGCCGTTAGCCGTATGCTTGCCCGTATCAGGGAGAAGGTGCAGGATAGGGGAGACCCGGGAGGTATAGGCCCCCTGTAGGTAGGGGCCATCGCAGTTTTGAAGAAATGTTGCGTATTTTTACACATTTGACCGCGTAAACTGGTAGCAGCCATTCCGTTACACAACCCAATTTTCAAAATCTTCCTCAGTCTTCTTTGGCAATGAGCGGTGATAAAGCTCTTTTGCCCTCTTCGAGTAAAATATGGTACATACAGAAAATTCGTGATAAATTTGAACCAGGCTCGTTTTATGATGTCAGACCAATGCTAACATAAAGTTTAAAGCATGCAAATTAACAGGCTGTGGAACAAACGTATCAAGTAATGAGCCGCCGAGGCCTTTTTCACGTTTCAATATTGCCTTGCGTCAATTTGTGACTTAATGTCAGCCACTATAAGGGGTTCAACGAATTGTTCTAGATTTAGAACCTTGCAGAAAGTGGGTGTCAGACTCATCACTCACAGGACGAAGATCACCGGGAGACTCTGGTGGCGACTTTTTCGGCACGGGAATGACAGTCGCCTGTTTTCATAGCAATGGAACTTTGCCTTCCCTGAGGGATTTGTTGAAAATGTGAGCCAGTGGCACTGCCTGACGGCCAATTCGATGCTAAATTCTTTCATAAGGCGTACTGGTAGATCTTCCTTTGGAACTGCCATGCTCTGCCGCATGGCTGCGATAGCTTTTGAGCCACGTGCCATGGTTGTATTTCAAATGGGATTTCATCAGCTGGCAGAAAAGATGGTAGATCAGTTGAATAGACAGTGGTTCAAACGTTGTGCAGATATGTGCGAAAAAGTCATTGATGATATCTGCAGTAGGTACCAACAAACTACACCTTTTTGCACTACAAATCGGCATCTGGTCATTCAATTTCGACACTTTGCATTCAATATCGACAGAGCTACCTCCATTTTGACATACCTCACACATTTCGAATTATTTCATCAATTTTAAATATCACCGGTTCATATTCGATCTGTTGCGTCAAATTTCGACAGTGGCATAGAATTTCGACAATGGTCAGCTGTAAATGAAGAACTGCATTTGACTTTGACATTTTACGATCAATTTAGACAACGGTTGTTTTGCTTTTTTATAGATTTACTTTAACCCGCGACCTGGTGGGGGGGGGGCTATTTTTTGCCCCCCCTCCAGACTTTTCGATATATCTCCAGAACCGCTGCGCCGATCGTCACCAAACTTTCAGTACCCTCCCGGACATCAATTTTACACATTGTGACCAAAAAATTTTTCCAAAAGCTATGATAGGTTGGCCGGAAATGACGTCAGAGTGACGTCATGTTCTGCCGTTTTCGACCCAAAAAAGGGTTTCGCGGGAAGAGCTGTCAGGCCTATAGCTTTGCAAATACAGAAAAATGTTTAAGACATAAAAGCTGTAAAATTAACACGGCTACAAAACTGCTATCTCGAATTTTTGAATTTTTTTGATTTTGACCCCCAAAAATCAAAAAATAGATTTTTGGGAAATAATAGTCAAAAAATCCAAAAAGTTTTTTGAATTTCGCAAAAACCGGAATATATGTGATAGTCCTTACCGCCTTCCATCCACATACAAAATTTTAGATTGATACCTCTTTTTTGGCGAAGTTATAGCGAAAAAAACTGTTCAAAATTGATGACGTCAAATTTTCAAACTCAATTTTTAGCAATTCTAGACCTCGTAGTGCAAATCAAAGACCACCATTAGACTCCCCGTGACGAGCTGCATCGAATCGATATCCATTTTATGCAAAAATATTAACTTTGAAATTTGACCTTTTTTGACCTGACCTTGACCTGACCTCCACCAGAAAGTGACCTAAACCGTACCTGATGGTCTTATAACCAACACCATTGGGTTGGAAATGAAAAACTGGCCATAAAACATGCATCGCACAACCTTAGTAAAGTTGGGTTCATGTGGTGACCCTTCGTGACCTTTGGTGACCTGACCTGTGACCTGACCTGGTATAACCAGTGACCTCTAATAGCAACATATGTACTAGACAACTGACGTCTTATCGCTGATTTTCGACAAAATGCGTTTTACTCGGTGTTATAGCGCTTTCCCTAGAAGCCCCGTGAACGGTGAAACATTTTATCTTTGACCTGACCTGTGACGTCATCGGTGACCCCGAGGTCAATAAAATTTGGTTTCCCTCAACAAATTTGACAGGGCTATCGAACGCCGTTTGAATTTTGCGGATCCGTCCAGTAGTTTCGGAGATACGAGGGGGGGGGGGCAAAAAATAGCCCCCCCCCCCACCAGGTCGCGTTATAAACAGACCCCACCAGGGCGCGGGTTAAATTTATGATAAAATTGTCTTATCATGTGAAAGCTATAACGCATTTTCACGGATATGTAGGAGTGCCCCTCCCCCGCTCCTCAGCCTGTGGGCTCTGCCGCCGCTGACTTTGGGGCTGACTGGTGGCCGCTGTTGAGCTGTTGCCGTCCGTCGTCGCGCTGCTGTCGTGGTCCGGGCCGTGGGCCGCCCGCGGCGGTGCTCGTTGTCGGCCGCGGATTGGCTGCCCCTGGACGGCCCGACCCGGCGTTGGGTCGGGCGTCGCGTATGTTCTGATGCGGAGTCTCCCCCGTGCCGTCGTTTCCATCCGCAGGATATTCAAATCCTTCTCCTCCACGCCGCAACCCCTTCTCTAGGCTGGACAGGCAACTTTATCTCATGCGGGCAGTGCTCCCTTGGAGCAGCACCGCTGCTCCCGGGGTAGCACTCCCGTAGCCGGGTGCAGAGAGTACTTGGGGGCTGATCGGCCTGTCCATTCGGACGGGCTCAGCCCCGGTGACTCTAGGGTGCCTGCCCAGACCAATGTCTCCCCCAACTTCCTACCTCCCGGCTCTGCAATGGTCTCATTGGACCGAAAGGGCCTACCGCGCCCTAACCCAACAAAACAAACAAACAAACGATGCGGAGTCTGATGAAGGGCCGAGGGCGGCGGCATTCAAGTCATGCCACGTCGTCAGAACAGGTCGGTGTGCGCCGAGGGCCGGTGTAGAATCATAGAAGCATTCAGGGACCCGTTCGACATTCGACGGGCCCGCTGCAATTAAACACGCCACCGCTTACAGCCGCTCAAGACGTATAGGGACGGGCGTTTTGTCGGAGCGATCCTGCATGCGTGCAATGGGTGACCATCAGCAGGGAACAACGAAGCATGATAAGGATTCAGATAGATAAGGATGCAGATGGAGTGAGAGTGAATTTACCACCCGTGCTGTACGCAAAATTTACATATTTACATAAGGTTCTGAACAGCATGATTAGGAGTGACTGGGACGACCAGCATCCAGCAGGTCTTTTTTCTTTATTTTTCATTAACTGCCTAATTAACGATTTTTAAATAAGCAATGTCTAAATCAAATGAGTGATGTTGATTTTAATTGTAAAATGACGAGATTGAATGTCTCGTGTTTAAATCCATGTCTATCGTCTAAATACGTAAGGCCTTGTCGAAATTGAATGCCCCTTGCCGAAATCATGACTGATATCGATGTGGTGTGCCCGATGTCAAAGTAGAGCCCATCATATGACGAAACAAAATGCCCCTATTCGAAGCAAATGAGAGATCGCTAAAATTGAATGCAATTCGCCGAAATTGACTGAAAAGATGCCTATTTTGAGTGCAAAAAGGTGTACATCTGCCGGATTATTTGATCCGATGTTCCACTGTTCAGGCTGCCGGTGTGTCAATGTCCTTACATGACTTTGACTTTACCATGATTGTTTGGGGGGGATCGGATCCCCCCCAGGCGGTCGCGGGATAAGCGGCTGGATCTATTAGGTATACGAGGATCTATTGCGGATTCTACTGTATGTTCAGCTGTGTTGCAGCCTAGCCTCAAAATAGAAATGAAGGGAACTCCCGAAGATTCTGGACATATGGCAGCGGCTCAATGCGGGTGATTCCTGCGCAGCTGACTCAAACCTGACGACATACATATACTTTTAAAATTTATTAATTTTGCTCACGTCATAAATTTTTGAACAAAAATATCAAAACGACCTTTGAATCTTGACTTTCGTTATTCGGTTCCTTACATTTGTAAAATGTTCATGCTATTTAGTTCTCATGTGTGAAAACCTGTTAAAATTATCATGCTTACATAAGCCCTGTGTCAAAGCTATCAATCAAATAATTGGTTTCAATGACGTAATGAAAAAACTATTTTACTACTGGTAACACTTCACTCGTTTTATAATTTGAGCGTTGGTATGTATTTATATTTATGCGGTGTGTGTCGGGTATGATGTATGGTGTGTGTTTCAAATTTAACGGCGGCGTCCTGTGGTATTAATCGGAATTCTTAAGCGACGGGGGGACGTTCTGTCTAGGAGGGGTAAGTTTCTTGCCTCTGGATTCGGCCATCCGGGTCAGGGTTTGATTCCCGGGCGATGCGCGTCAGCGTGGCGCACGTGGCGGCAACGTGAATTGCAACGTGAAAGGCGTTTTTTAAAACGTTCAGCGATAGATAAGAGCACCAGTATATATGTTACAGGCAAAGAGAAATTCCGGGCATTTTGCAAAATGCCTACGTATTCGTAGAGGAACTGTACTTCAGTCGGGGGAGGTTTGGTCAATCGTTGTCATTTTTAGCACGTGCTATTTTTGTCACACGTGCTAAAAATGACAACGATTCTGCTATTTTTGACAACGATGAGGCCTATTTCACTCCTCAGCGAGGAAATGAAGATTTTGGAAAGATAAACACTGATTTTGGAAAAGAAGTGCTGCCACCTGGTGCAAGACGAAGAATCCAGCTTTAATATGCCTGTTATTTGTATGGTAGTTTGTTTTGTGGCCTGAAGTTGGAACTTAAAATTGAAGCATCCGAAAATGATCGATATTGATCGAAAACATGATGTTGATGAAAAAAATAATATTTTAAGTTGAGAGAGGAGGCCATTTTATCCAGATGCAGAAGTTTACTTCTTGAAATTATTTTTGCTAATGATGGCTGCTAATTATCCCTCATTACATGGCAGTCGTCGTAAGCAAAAATAATTTCAAGAAGTAAACCACCGCATCTGGATAAAATGGCCTCCTCTCTCAACTTAACATATTATTTTTTTCATCAACATCATGATTTCGATCAATATCGATCATTTTCGGATGCTTCAATTTAAAGTTCCAACTTCGGGCCACAAAAAAGGGTATACTTCAACGTTGGACTACCATACAAACAACGGCCATATTAAAGCTGGTTTCTTCTTCTTGCACCAGGTGGCAGCACTTCTTTTCCAAAATCAGTGCTTGTATTTCCAAAATCGTGATTTCCTCGCTGAGGAGCGAAATCGGCTTCATCGTTGCTAAAAATAGCTGATAGCGTTGTCATTTTTAGCACATGGTTGCCAAAAATGGCATGTGCTAAAAATGACAACCATTGACCAAACCTCCCCCAACTGACTTGGAATGTCAATATCACTGACCTCAGGGTTATGTTGATTTTGCGACCTTTCTATTATAGGTAGGTAAGTCAACAGGAGACAATTGAACTGCGCCTCTGTTGCACAAAATTCATATAAACATACTAAACAATGCACTCAATAAACGGGACACAGGTAGCCGCAGCAGGGAAATGTGACAACCTTAATTAAAATTTCGAGATATACATTTTGTACATACTGTTACTCTTATCAATCGCTGAAAGTTTCAAGCCTCAAGGCGATCGTTCTGTCGGTGTAGCTATGACGAGGATTGAAACTTTCTGAGGTGAGGTCACTTGACCTGACCTGGTAACCTGACCTTGAGAGCCCTGGGCCTGAAATTTTCACAATGTGTGGAAAAGATGCCTGAACAGTGACATAGGCGGCGGAACGGGGAGGGCACTGGGGCACCGTGCCTCCCTTTGATTTTGGCATTTTAACATTAGCCCTATGGGCGCTGCATGGAAACAATGGGACCAAAAGTCGGCAGTGCGCCCTTAATTGAAGGTGTTCTGCTGCTACTGCCTGCTGAACGCGCCGCTGTTGGTTAGATATCTGCGAAAAACCACAGGGGGGGGGGTGTGTTCAAACACCCCACCCGGCCCGGCACGGGTTAAGTGATTAACCATCGAGAGCAAAGAAAAAAGGCTACAGGTGGGGCCGATTCTGCTTCCTATCCCCCCCCCCCCGCACACACACATCAGTTATAAGGCTAATACCTAGGTGTGTACAATTTGCTTTTTACCATGCCATTGAAACACTAGGTAGTAAGCAAACATTAGTTCACCAAGTTCTGGAAAAGTGCAAAAACTGATCAAGTGATCACTGATGTCAAGGAAATATCCGGAGCATTCATTTATATATCCTGAGAAGACAGATCTAGGTGCCTGATTACCAGCCTACCAAATTTCATGCATGGTGACTCATGCGTATTGTCTATGCTGGTCTGAACTGCTTTTGGTACATGTGCTCTTTTTCAGATACTGACCAAGCGTCCTTTGAAGATCTTTTCCATAAAAGTAAAATGTCACAGTCTAAGGAGCTTCAGTGCTACAATCGTGGATGTGGAAACAAATATAATCCAGAAGAAAATAAACAAGGTAAGTCTATGATAAGATAAATAAAAGAAATTGACGTTTTCCTCGACATCAAAAATGAAAAAAACCGAATAATTATATAAGAAAAAAATGGTGAGCTTTCGGCCACTGGCCTTTATAGACTTAATAAGGTAAGTCGATGTTCTTTTCATAAGCATTGTTTCAAAATGTGGGTGCTGACTTAGTTAGACTACATGTCATGACAATTTAAATTAGGCCCTGATGTGAGTTGGAGTGTTGCTCGGCTGGTGCAGGTGACGTGGCCTTATGTGCCCCTGTGGTGCAGATCTTGGGCCCAGGCTGTGGTATAGTGCTGGACTATGATGCCGCTATGACTTTTTGGAAGACGACGCTTATGCGGTGTATATACACCGTAATTTGGTGTTGGGTGGGATGCCCACCCTGCCCGACATCGACTAGGGTTCGACCTCGAGCTCAGGACTGGGTCAGTTGTCGGTCAGTGGTCGGTCAGTGGTCGGTCAGTCCGCTGACAGACCGATGCGCTGGCTGGCGAGGCTGTATGTCCGCCCGGTTCAAGGTTTAGCTGTATTACTGTGCAATTGTGCATAGTGGATAAATGTGATAGGCACGCAAAACAGTCGGCATAACAAGAGTACGAGTTAAAATGTGTTGTGTTCGTTCCAGATTCGTGCACATTCCACCCTGGAGCGCCATTCTTCCACGATGCTTACAAAGGCTGGTCCTGCTGCAACAAGAAAACAGTTGACTTCACCGAGTTTCTCAACACAAAGGTATATCCCGAGTCCCAGCTGAATGTTTACTTATGGCACTGACAAGACTAAATATTCTAATGTAGATAGTGAGACCTGTCCGGCTGTCTCTTTGTTGATAGTTCCTGTTTTGTGCTTGGTATTGTGTTTGACTTGAGTAGCAATCAGATGTAACATCAAACATTCTCAGCTCATCGTTCAAGTGCATGGATACGTCCCTCACCTCAGCCATATGACTGGCTACCATCCCCGCTGTTCTTACCCCACCCGCCCTCCTTCAGGGTGCACCAAAGGCTTCCACAGCGACGTGAAGCCGGTGGAGCCGGAGAAGCCCAAGAAGGAGTCGTCACCGCCCTCCGTCGGAGAGCAGATCTTCTCCCCGCAGGCGCCCAACAGGAAGATCGAGCCGCCCAAGCCGCGGCCAGCCGTTTGACACTCCGATGGTACGCGTCCGGCGTGTATGGAGGACCGCAGAATCGGCGTGACGCGAGCTCGAGTGGCCGCTCGACTGGTGGAGAGACGGTGAAAGGTTTTCAACTTGTGACTTTTCGTATAATATTTACTTACTGTTTGGCTATATTGTGTATTACGATGAATGTGTTGCATGCTCACGATAGAATATCATGTGAGATATATTTTGCCCACCTGCTACAGGTACGCCTACAGCGCAGAAAGGTTTGCTGTGTATCACAAAATTTAAACTAAACTAAATAGTTTTATTCTAGCAAAACGTGAACCATATGTTCTAAGCATCCTGATTCCTGACATCTGTTTTCCTCGCCCCCGCCGAGCTGCGCTGATCTGAGCCGGTTTTCGTTACAGTGCTGCTGCCCTGCACAGTCGCCCTCTCTGAGCCAGGCGCTAAAACAGCGGGCCAGCAGCGTGGCCGACCCGAGCCGGGGGGACGCTAACCACTAGTGCCCGGTACTAGACTGTAAGAACGGCGGCTGCAAGGAGTGAGGCAGCGCGACTGCTGGTGCGATGGGTCATGTGATGGTGGTTGACTTGAACTGTAGATATGTGATGAGGCTACCCAGGACTGCCCTGGAG